AAATCATTATAGTTATATTGAACTTATAGTTAATGACAAAAAAAGACTACAATAACATCAGTCTTGATAATAACATAAGATATAACATAATAACATAGAATAAGATATTAGCACACGTCTCTCCAAAATAATTAAAGAAAAGATTATAAAAAGGCTAGACAACTTAACGTAGTAAATAACGTAATAACATATAACACCACAAATTATATGATGTATTATCAACTAAAATACTTGAACTAAAAAGATTTTATTGATTACAATATCGAACAATTATATATCATAAAATAGCGAGCAGCTCATAAAATATTTTATATACATGGTCATTGTCAATTGTGGTATTAGGAAACACATAAGAGCTCAGTAATTATATAAGTTTTATTGATGCTCCATATACTAATTCTCATTTAACTCCCATCTAAGAGTAAACAAAATTGTTTTCACCTTTATTATGTAAAGTTCCAGCTTCTCTTTACCCGTTGACTAATGATTAATAGAGTAAACTTCATATCATTAAATTTACAAAATTAAAACCATGTTTTAACAGTAAGCAAACTAATCAAGTGATAACAAAGGCAACTAATGAAAAAAACATAATTATGTTTGAATTTATAAAAAAATGTAAAATCATCAAAATTTAAAACTATTTAAATTTAAAATGTTTCAAAGCGTTTAAAGTAAAATCAAATAAACAGACATTAACACGGCTTGACACTGAATTCTAGCAAGTAATTTTGTCTTGCCTAGCTCTATCTCTTTTATTTGAACAACGATTATTTTCGCCTGTTAGCATTTACACAAATAAGTTCTTCGCTTTTATTAAATTATTAGCCATTTCAATTTCACTGTATTCTTTAAACATATTACCAGTAATTGAATAATAAAAATTGAATAATAAAAATGTAAAAGAATCTTACAAATTGTGATCTTTTCTAATCAAAGACTTAAATAAATCAAAGACTTAAATTAATTAATAATCTTTTAACTTTAGATGAATTGAAATCCATATCTTTTTTTAAGTTTATACATATAAGTTGTTTATCAAAAATATTAAAAAAAAATTTATTTATACCAATAAATTGTAATTTAACAAAGAATCTAGACAACAATACATAATCTAAAAGTGTAAAGAATGAAGCATTATCAGTCAATATATTTTACTCTAAAGTAATAAAAAAAAAAAGGAATTCAAGTATGTGCATATCAATATTTTCTAAGAGAAAATATTCATATACAGAGAAATAAAAAATATACTGAGATATAGACACATTTATGTATATAAACTTATTTGTCAACAAATCACAGACAGTTTTCCATGTTAAATAAATAAAATATATATCTAATAAAGAATAAGCGTATAAAATCATAAAATATTAACTAAAAAAATATAGCAAACTTACTAAAATAAGTATCAGTTCTACTGTCTAAAAATTTTTATTATGATTAACCCTTCTAATAATAATTATAAAAAATAACAACAAAGTGATCATAAGTTACTAAAAATCATTTCACCTATTGCTATAAAAAATAGCTTACAGCTCTTTCCAATTACACTAAAATATAAAACAAAAATTGCTTTGGTAAGTTGCTTGGAGCTTAAAAATCTGAAAACAGAAAAGTAAAAAACCTAAAAAAAACATTTTTTTATTAAAACTACTATATTTAAACAAATTAAATTAAATAAAGCTCTAAGACTTCCTACATAAGTTGATGGCAAAACTAAAACACGTTCTGGTCTGTGATTATTTCCAATGTTGTTTACATGTTTGTGTATAGCATCACACTGCTCGCTTCTCATTTTGTTTAGATTAATCGTCTAACTAAAAGTCTGTAACTGTAATACTGAGATAATATAACATGATTTCTAATCAATGTAGCACATTCAGGGTTGTGAACCAATTGATTATGCCAACCAGCATCAGCCCTTGGAAAAAATAGAGAATAAACCATAGGCTCTAATTTAGCAGACATACTTGATATAGTTTTAGGAGGATGACCTCTTGGGAAAATAACAACTTCCCTGGAAGCAGGTGGAGCACCATCTTCACCAACAAATACAATTGTAACTTCATTATGTGAAGGGAGATTATAGTGACGTCTATCTTGCCCTTTAGGTAAAGACATTTTTACAACTGAGACTAAATGACCTTTTATAGCTGCTTGATAAACTTATTTATCTTCCACTTCAGCCATGTTTTTAAATGCATGAGCAAATGGGTTCTCTTTACTAACAATAGTTTTCAATCGAAACATTAAATCATTTAAGCAATGATCATTACCAGGAAATCGCATTATAAAATTTACTGCTGGAAGTGGATTATATATGTAGTTGACAATATGTTGGCGGAACATCTTGATCTGGCCTAAGATTACCTACATGATAAAAACTTGACTGCATATTCTAAAACATGGCGGCTAATGATTTATGGGTTGAACTACATTAGCTGTAAATGAAGCAAAAGAAAGACAAACATGGTTTCAAATATATTTTAAAAAATTCATATTGGCAGTTCCATCTGCATAATTTGCTATAAATAAATCTTGTAAATCTTGCAGAAATGGTGAAAGTTGCGACAAAACTACCTTTCCATAATGGCAACATAAATATGTGTTTCATCAGAAAATTTTCTTGGCACCACAATGCTAACAAATACAATTCATTTCTCCTAAATAATGATAATCTGGAATAGAATTACTTCTTGCTATACAATGCATTCTTTTGTGTTTAGCAGCATATCTAGCATTTTGTTGACTAATAATTTTATCTTGCCTAAGCCCATACTTTCAATTCTGCATCAATTTTGTTCAACCACACTCTCCTCATTTCAGTTCAAAGTATTTGCTGCTTGCCAAGCAGCATATCTAGCATTTTGTAGATTATTAATTTTATCTCGCCTGAGCCTTCTCTTTCATTTCTGCAACAATTAATTTGGCTATTAATATTTCCATTTTTTATACTAGTATCTGCTTCTAGCCTAATATCATCCATTTAAACTTCACTTTTAATTGAAAGTATTGACAAAGAGTCTTGAAGATTGTGATCTTTTCTATATAATTTTTTTCTACTCTAAATAGCAAACACAAATAATTTTTAAATATAAGAAACTGTCATTTAAAATAAATTATACAATAATCTTATGAATTATAAAACATATCAGCAAAATGATTAAACAAAAAATTAACTTCTAAATTTTTTTATTTAGACTTAAAAAAATTAATCTAAATAAATAAATTAGCAAGTAATTCTTATAATAAACATACTGCTAATACAGAAAAATTAAAAAAACAAACAAAACATTGTAAACCCTTTTTTGAAAACTTCAATATTATTTCTTTAAAAAAATTATTAGTAAATGTTTTTAAAAAATTCACAAAACTTTACAATATTTTGTTTTTCGATACCACATAAATACATCATTTGATCAATCTAAAATAAAAAATTTAATAAGTAAAAAAATAAGAGAAACATTACATACAAAAAACGGAAATTGTTGTACCTGATAGAGAAAAGCTGTTGTGATTTACCAGAATAGTAGTAGTAGGCTTTTAGTGAATATATATATGTATATATATATATATATATATATATATATATATATATATATATATATATATATATATATATATATATATATATATATATATATATATATATATATATATATATATATATATATATATATATATATATATATATAAAATACAGAGTAGTAGGCTTTTAGTAAATGATTAAAAGCAGTGAGGTCTAATAATGAAATTACCTGTTTATCATTTTTAACAAAAGACACCAACTTGAAGGTAAAATATCTATTAACTCAAAAGATTACAAAAAAACAACATCATAACAACAATAGCACACACCATAAGTTAATATAATATGGATATAACATAACTTAAAAAACAACATATATAACAGAACATAAGTAACAACATTATGCAAAATGTTATAAATACATTATTATGTATTTTCAGAATAATTAATAATAAAGGCTTGAAAACACCTAGACCTAAATCAGTAACCATTTTACACTAAACATTGCCATGTAACCTTCTGCTGTAAGTACTTGACATGGCTGACAAGATTGACAAATCTTGCTCTACACGTTTACCAAGTCACAGCACTTTGAAAACATGGAAACAACATAATATAAACATATGTACCAACTATAAACACAATTGTATATTTAACCTTGTATAAACATATTTAAACACATTTATAAAACAACTATATAATACATATTAACACATACACAAACAATGGCAGAGGTGTACTTGATTCACGTGTGAACCAAACAATTATTTATTTTAGCCCTTTAAAATTGGAAGGACTGATCCTTTTTACTTTATATCTCATAAAAATGTTATATATAATTTATATATAACATTTTTATTAGATATAAAGTAGAAAGGTAAGGAAAAGGTAAAGGAAAATAAGATGAATATTCATATTATAATTAAAGTAAGTATAAAAAATAGTTGAGCAATTTATATTATAGATTGCTCAACTATTTTCTATACTTACTTCAATAGTAAGTATAAAAAATAGTTTAGCAATTTATATTATAATTTGCTAAACTATTTTCTATACTTACTTCAATTATAATATGATCTTAACGATGAATATTCATCTTAATATGATTCTTAATGTAATATTTCTAAACTAAAAAATAATATTCTAAACTAATATACAATATCAACATTTCAAAAGGTAAAAGGTTTTAACTCGTTTTATAGATCTTTCTCTAGTTTGAGAACGCGCTTTTTCAAGTTCAGAAAAGTCTAGTAACTAATTAAAACTACTTTAAAAACGAAAGCGAAACGACATTGAACATTGACTGTAGCAATTATAATAAGATTTATATATCAAAAAAGTTTATTTTTAAAAAAGTAAAAATTTATTTTTAAAAAGTATTTAAATAATTTAAAAAAATTTAGGAATATATTTATAATATATTCATTTATTTTCATTTATAATTTTCTTTTTAATTTTTAATTTATTTTAGTTGATGGAGGATACACAGAGTGGGGACCTTGGGCCATAAATTGTACCAAGCAGTGTGGAATGGGTTTTCAAAATCGAACACGAACTTGCACCAACCCTAAACCACAATATGGTGGTTTGCCATGTTATGACTCACCTAATGATTTTATATTCTGCAATGTACAAATGTGTCCGAGTAAGTTTTATATTTTTAAAATGTAAAATATTTTACCATTTTTAGGTTAATTATTAAAATAAGTTTTTTAAATCACATACTTTTTCTCTGCTGCCTATAGAACACAATAATAACATGAAGCTTTTATATTTTTTTACTCATTTTGATTGTACAAGACATAAATTAATTTTTTGTCATGTCATTTTTAACAGTTCCATCCTGTAAACTCATCCTGTAAATCTGCTAAGTTATTTAAAGTGTTTTGATTTTTTAAAAATAATCAATAAACAAAATATATTTTAAGCTATTATGATTATATATAAAATATATTGAAAATAGCATTGTGGGTAAATTTATATTGGAAAATTTTGGGTGGCAAGTATTTTTTGAAACTTAAAGCACATTTTTTGAAACATAAAGCACATTAATTTAGTTGATGGTAGCTGGACTGAATGGACAGCATATGATGACTGTAACAAACCATGCAATGGCGGTAATCGTGTACGATATCGTTTTTGTGTTGAACCAAGACCTGATCATGGAGGCAAACAATGTGAAGGAAATTCTACAGAAAAAATTAAATGCAATGTTTATAAATGCAATGGTTTGTTCTATAATAGTAATTTTTTTTTAATTGATACTATGAAGTCTGTTTTTCAAAACATTAACATTTTGACTTTTAGAAGTAATTGTTCTGGTAAACTTAACCCTCCAGGGTCGAACTTACAGCGAAGACTTACAGAGTTCAAGTTCAAAAAGTTTTTTAGATTTGCAGTCACATTTGCTTAATAGCCTCATCGAACTCTATTTACATACACCATACAATAATACAATTCTTGGTTTAATACTTCTTCCTAATGTCAGGTAATTTTTGAAAAACAAAATGTTTTTTTCCTGCTCATTTTGAATTATGCTATTTTATATATATATATATATATATATATATATATATATATATATATATATATATATATATATATATATATATATATATATATATATATATATACATTTTTTTTTTAATATATATTAAAAAAAAAATGTATATATATATATATATATATATATATATATATATAATATATATATATATATATATATACATATATATATATACAATAAATATTTTTAATAATTATTTTTTTGAATACATGAGTTTACTAGAGGACAATGTTACTTTTGAATCAATAAGAAAACTATTTTACTTAAGACTTTAATTAACGCTTTTGTTGCAAATACCACCCTATCAGTAAATAATTATTGAAAATTGTTTAAAGTATTTTAAACATTTATTAACTATATTTTTGTAAATTTAATTTTAGTGTTTAAATATTTTAATACCTTAAACCATTTTTAATCAATATTTACATTAAATAATATATTAAATCACGCAATATTTGTAAAATTAACAAAATAGTTTTAGGTCTTGTATTTAAACTAAAAACATAAGCATTTAATAAACAAATTCGTTAAGCATTTAATAAAATATTCGAAAAAATAACACAAGCATTTAATAAACTTATTTACTAATTATTTAGTTTTAAAATTTTGATTTAAATATTAGAAAAACCTGTTCATTTAACTTTTACTAAAGATTAATAATTTTTAAAGTGATTTTAAATTAAAGATAATTAAAGGAGATAATTATAGTAAACAAAATTTTGAAAATGTTTTTTTGAATTAAAAGTATATAATATATTATAAAACATATTTAAAAAAATAAATTTTTATATATAATTAAGTATAATTTAAAAAAATTGCATTTATTAAATAAATTACATTTACTGTGGGTTATTTTCTATTTTTCATAAAAAAGCAAAATAAAAATAAAAGAAGAAAAATAATTTTTTGGTGCTTTTTTTTGGGCGCCCATACTGGTCCAATGGTACTAAAACACATTTGGGTTCTTCACTGGGAGTGATACTTTTAAAAAATTTAAAATTAAGCAGTAGCTACATTGTTTTTATTGTTTTGGTTGTTTTAATTTGTTAATATTTTAAAAATATTTAAAATAATGACGTATTTTGCATTTCCATTTTAAAAGAAACTTAAGTGGATGAGATTAATTTTGGATTATTTATTTAATAGGATTTAGTTTTTAAGATTTGTTTTTAAAATTTGTTTTTGATTAAAAATAGTAAAAATACTTTCATCCGAGTATAACAACTTATAAATTACATTTAATCAGTATTTAATTAAAATTAACTTTAATGGCACCAAAAAAAAAACATAAAATACATCAGCTACTCACTTAAGTAAATTTATTGGTAGAGGAAAACAACTTTTACTATCTGAGCTCCCTACTGCAAGGAATATTTTATAATATGAGATTTTTTTTGAGAGAGACAAGTAATCAAAATAAAAGAAACTATTATGTTGATTAACTAGTTACTGGTATGACTCCAACCTTATCTTCTCAGTGGGAAAAAGCTAAATGCAAATTTGTTCATTCAATAATAATTTAAGAATTAAAGCTAAACTTAAGTATATTCTGCATTTAAAATTTAAATGTTGGGAAATGTTAATGAATGAATGAAATGAATGAAAAAATTAGGAAATTTTAAAAAGTCAATAAAGGAGAAGTTCATTTCATAAATTGACAAACTTATTGATAGTTTATCTTACAGATGTAAAATTTTTGTTTTGTTCAAAGTATGGTTGTAGCCATGACTGTAAAAAGCAAGTACGTGTTTAATGCATATGTGTGCGATCGCACATATATAGAAAATAAAATTCATGTATTAGAACTCAGCTTTATCAAGTCACAGAGAGAGAGTTGATAGTTTCACACATTACCATATTGGTGGTGTTGACCTAAAAGAGTCAACAAAAAGAAAAGTTATAGAAAGAAAAGAGAAGCATCATTACGAGGAGGAAGCAAAGAAACGTAAAATAAAAGAAGATAAGATCAATCAAAAAATTCAGCAAGATTATAATTTCTCAACACAGGTTAAATAATTACTTATAGAATATACGAAGTTATATATGAAGTTATTAAAGTAATTGTATACTCAAAAAAATTACCTGTTCTTAGCCCGGAAGTTATCAAAATTACTGATTAAAGCTATGCTTACCAAATACTCAACGCAATAAGGTCTGGGAATTTACCTAAGCAGTTACCAATGCTTGAAATAGGACCTGTTTGCCATAGCAGATGGCTCACAACAGCACTAAGATTTTTCTGAATATGCATGGGCTATCTGGTGTCGACCTTCAAAATCTTACATGGGCTGTTGAATTTATAATAGGCGTTTATATTCTAAACTGGTTCAACATAAAAGTCAAAGCATGTTGGGTTGAAAGTCCAAGACATATCTTATACCAATTAAAACTCCTTAAAAACCAGAAAAAACCATTTCTTGATATTGTAATTCCCATAGTGAAAAGATCTGCTTGGTACACACATTCAGAAGGTATTTTGCAAACAATGATATGTGAGAAGAGTGAAGAAAGTGAGAACAATGATATGTAGTGAGAAGAAAGAAGAGCTCAAGCTGTGGAGATTTTTCTTATGATTTCCATGGGAATGAATACAAGCAAACTAATGTTGGTAATTATAGCCATAGGCATCAAAGAACACCTGATATTAACATTGATTCTGAGAATCTTTATAGCCTCATTGACTGGAACAATGTTATAGAGCCACCTTTGATATACAATCTTACATCTGCTGCTATAAAAGATTTTATTAATAGCTCCATGGTTGTTCACCAACAAAGTTCTTATATACAATCAGTTGAGAGGTGTGTACAGATGGTTACAGAAGCTCTAGGACATGTCCACACATCAGAAAGAAGGGAATCTTACATTAGAGCTCAATTCATTAATAGAGAGTTGATGTCTGCTAATAGAAGCAAAAAAGACATGATTGAACTTCTAAATTATAGTTTAAATGATTTTTTATAGTTGTCTTTTAAAAAATATAAGACTTTTTGTTGTTTAAATATTTAAAATATAATTATATACTTAGTTTTAACATTTAATTTAGAATAGCATTTAATAAGTATTTTATATTTGCTCAAGTACTTTATTATTTCTATGAACTAGCTTTTATTATATCTTTGTTGAGACATAAATTCTTATATTTAGATATATTTAATTATTAAATATATGAATTTTGTTTAAATATAAGTTTGCTTCTTAGAAAAATTTACTAAGAAGTATTGAAATATTTATTTTATGAACAGATGTTTATAAGGATTGAAAAATTTTTTACAAAGATCACTTTGCAAAATTTTCTAATATAGTCAAAATTATTTTTAAATATAAATTGCAAAATATTTTAAGTTTTCCTTGAAATTCGGAGAAGTTTATTACTTTATAAAATGTTAATAAAGCAACAGTTTTCAACGACTAGTTTATAAAAGTTTTTTTCAATTCAAAAGCAACTGAGTTTTAGGGACTTATAAAAAAAGTTTTTTACTTTGGCAAAAAAAAAAAATAAGTGAATAAGTTAGAAAATAACCAAACATGGAGGAACTTATATTGTTTCTAGGTAGATTTAGGAACCCCTTAGCATTTCTTTATGGGTGCGCATTTAGTGGTTTCTACATTAGTCATAAGCAGTAAAACTAAAACTTGAAAAAAATGTAGCTAGCATTGAAATACAAAAAAATTAAAAGTTATTTTCTTTATTTATAAGTAAAATCCTAATATTTTTTAATTATAACTTTTATGAATATAAAGTTTTTTTTTAAATGACACACCCTATATATATATATATATATATATATATATATATATATATATATATATATATATATATATATATATATATATATATATATATATATAGTATATATATATATATATATATATATATATATATATATATATATATATATATATATATATATATATATATATATATATATATATATATATATATATATATATATATATATATATATGTATATATTAGAATCATTTAAGTCATGTAATTTATTTGAACCATGTAAATTTTTTTAATTATGTGAATCTTTTAAGTTATTGGCTAGTAATCTTATATAATCTTAAATAATTTTCAGAACTTTGTGATTGTTTTTACTGTTGAATAAACTCTTTTGAATTAAAACATTTTAAATGTTGTAACTCTACTGAATCATGTATTATTTTTTAAATGGTGTTACTCTTTTTAACTTATAGACTTGTTTTCAATCATGGTGATAAATTAAATGTTATAAAAAAGCAATGTTATTGTCAATGCTAGCAATAATGTTATTTTTCAAACTCAAATTTATTTGTGTTAATGAAGATTTGTTGTAGTTTTGTTAAATTTGAAACTAATTTTAGAAAAGGATTAGAAAATAACAGTTTGGATGTTAGTTTTGAAGTCAAATACGATGCTATTGACGAGTCACAGTTGTTAATACTTCAAGATGCAATCAGTTTAATGAAATCAATTTCTAAAATCAGCGTATCTCCAAAATACAATGCAACATCAAACAATGGTTATTATTTTATTTGTTGATTTTATTTATTCTAATTTTTAAAGTTAATTACTGTCTCTTAATGCTATCATACGTTATACTAGATATATACATTGTCATACTTTAAAATATAATGCAACATCAAACAATGGTTATTATTTTATTTGTTGATTTTATTTATTCTAATTTTTAAATTTAATTACTGTCTCTTAATGCTATCATACGTTATACTAGATATATACATTGTCATACTTTATCATACATTATATTCAATATTTCTGTTTACTCTAGTACCTAATGATTACCCAAAAAATTTGTCGGCCTCTAGTTTCTCATATTCTACAATCAATGTTACATGGAATGAAATGTATATAGAAGGGGGTTTTCTGAATTATTTAGTCTTTTACAAGGTTTCAAATCAATTGGAGTATAGTATTAGACCAGCCACTAGTACAGAAAAAGTACTTATAGGCTTACAAGCAGATACCTGGTATACAATTCGCATTGCTATTGATACAACAAATGGAAATGGTTTGCTAAGCCCAAGTATTGAAACAAAAACATTAGCAACAGGTATTTATGTATGCATGAAAGGACACAACCTTATTTTTACATAAGGTCATGTTTATCTATTGATTTTTGAATCATTTTTGGTTTCATTGTTTATATCAATTTTGTTTTTAGTACCACTTGTTGCTCCTCAATTTCTTACAAACAAAGTGACTGGTGCCTTTAGCATCTTTGTTTCTTGGTCAATTGTGCCTATAGAATTATTTGGTGGAAGCCCTGTTGGTTATAATATCAGATATCTTGGGAGGCATGATGTTGATTTTACTGATATTTATGTTACATTTGAAAAACGCCACCACACTATTACAGATTTGGAACCATATCACTCATACATCATATATGTGTGTGCTGTTAATAAAATTGGCCGTGGACCTTGCTCGAGAACACAAATCACAACCGACTTTGCAAGTATGTTTTTTTGTTTGCATTATAAATTTTGTATATATTATACAGTTTTGACTTTTTATAAAAGTACATAACATATATTTTGTCTACAAATGATATATTAAAGAAATAATAATGAAAGATATGATTAAGGAAATAATAATGAAAGATATGATTAAAATTCATGAGATATATACTCAAATAAAAATTTCTTTATTTGGTTTCTATTGAGAAAGAAGAAAGTTATTAATAAAAGGGTATTTAGTTTAAATAGTTTTTTTTTTTTTTTTGTAGATTTTTTTTGTTTCTAGTGAGAAAAACAGGGGTGTTTTTTTTGAAAGCTTCTATTTCAATTAATATTTATGTTTAATGAAAGTAGAGTCAAGGTTTAATATTTTTAAATACTAATAGAACTAAGTTTAGGATGAGTGATTATTTTCTTTTTGCAAAGAACTTTGGGATTGAAATAATGATTGAAATTTTAAATTTTTGAGATTTGAACTGAATCGTGTATATATGGTGTTGTTTGAAGAGACACAAAATGGGTATGATATATCTTTTAAACATATATTCAAAAGACTTTTAATACCCTTCTACATAGTCCTTAAGCTATTAGTAAAAAGTTTTTGGAAAAATGGTTCTTTTTGCTTTGCCGAATAAATGTTACAATTAAATTTCTATAGGTTTTGTAAGTTTTTTCAAGATTTAATTTGTCATTTTGCTTTTTAAGTTTTGAGAAATTTCTTAAAAACCTAATTTTTTTTTTTAATGGTTTAAGTCAAAATTAATTAGTTTTTTTAGCAATGCATGTTTGTCTACAAGAGAGATAAAGGTAGTAAAGAAGTCTTCAAAAGATTTATTAGTATTACCCATGGTAAACTTTAATTAAACTATCCCAGTAATTTTCTTGTATTTCAGTAAATTTCTTTGTAAACCCATAGTTTTTAGTTTCTCTACCTGAATTTTTTACTATATAGTTTTTTGAAAATATGATGAAAAATATTGCTTTTATGAGAATTAGTTTTTCTTTTTTAAAAGGATGAATAAATTGGAAAAAAATAAGAATAAAGATTAAATTAGAAACTGGGACAAATGGTATTCTAATAGTTAGATTACCAGAAAAAACATCTCGAAGTACTTACTTAGGATTAAATTTATATTGAAGGTTTATGCATAAGTAAATCATTTCCAGATTTATAAATTAGTTTATCAGAAATATAAAGTAGACTCGGTCCAAATAAAGTTTTTTTTGGAGTATGTAAATAAACATATCTATTATGATTTATTGGACTTGCTGTGAGTAAATTATATTTCAGCTTAGTTTCAGTTATTCTGGTTATGCTAAATTGAATAGATAAAAGAGTTTTTTAATAATCTAAAATCAATATTATTCAAAAAACTATGTTTCTTATGGATTATACTTAAACAGCAATTTCATTGAAGTGACAGATGATTAATAGGAATATTTTTATGATAAAAACACTATTATGTGTAGACTCTGTAAAAACTTTATAGAGCTTACATATAACAAAAAAGTACAGAATGTACTTAGAGTCGTCAAGCGTACCTTCACTCATCTAAATATAGAAATGATATGTACTCTGTACATCGTGCTATTTAGACCTCGCTATTAAGTTTGCAATTCCTGTATGAAATCCTACTTTGAAAGGTGACATTAAAACATTAGAAAAGGTCTAAAGTTGAACAATTAAACTGGAACAAAATCTCAAACATCTGTGTTATGAGGAATGGCTATCCAAAATGAAGATAACATTACATGGCTTAAACCACAACAATTTGCACTGTCATTACAAGCTAATGGAACAGCATCAGCAATAAGAAGTCATAATGTAAGAATTAAAAAAGAAAATGTCAAGCATTCTTCGTCTTGACTAGCGTTCTTCAGTAATCGTATTGCGAATGAATGAAATGTATTACTGATTCATGTGGTGAATGCACAGTCTTTGAGTTAATATTACTATTACTAACATCTTGTAAAGTGTCTTAAAAGATTTTGAGAAAAGAAATTCTAAGAAAATTTGTTTGGTGTGGGGTGTTTGATTAAAATTTGATAAAGGGGCTTATCTTAAAGTTATTCTTGTTCTATTTTGTGAATGATTGTTTAGCTTGTTCTGCTTTCTTCTAAGAAGGGAATAACTTTGAAACTTAGTTTTATTTTTTCCAATAAGATTTGAGAAAGAAACTAATCTTGAACTGGTTATTATTCTTGTTTTATTTTCTATAAAGAAACTATAAAGAGATTATGGTAGTAAATTGCTATGAGTGAAAACTAATGTGAAAACTTTAATTTTAATGTTTTTACTGTTTACGAAAAGATAAATTTAGAGGTTTTTAGTCATTTATTGAGTATTTTAATGTTGTAAACAAGAAGTCTTTTAATTTTAATAAAAGAGATTTTTGGAATGTATACACTTAGCTTGATGCTTTGGTTAAAAAAAGATTTATGAAAAAATAATAAATTATATAAGAAAAAATTAAATTCTACTTTTTAAAAATATATAATAGTAATAGTCAAAAATAAGCAGAAAACAATAAATCAAAGTTTAAAAATGTAAATTTGTGAATCTTTCTCTAATTTTCTTTGTGTTAGTTCTTGAATTAATGACTTTTGTCTCTTTACTGAAAATTGTGTTTCTTATGTTACCTCTTTGATTCTAGTAGCCACAGAAGCTTCTATTGTGTTTCTTATGTTACCTCTTTGATTCTAGTAGCCACAGAAGCTTCTATTTCTTCGTTAATCCGAGCTTTTATCCATGTTTTTTTTCTTTGCAGAAGTGTTGATTCCAGTTATAATTATTTATCCACTTTTTACATCAACAAATTCATCTAAGAACTTTCTTGAAATTGTTATTTTTGTTTAATTCTAAATATTTTTTTACATTAGAATTGAACAATAATAACAATCCTTTTTTAAATGTTGAAAAAAATTTGTTTTGTAAATAATACCTATTTTCCCAAGAGATTTTTGTAAAAATCATTTTCAAAAGGAAAATCTTTTTTAACTTCAAATTAAAACTGCTCTTCTGACTGTTGTCTGTTTATTTATATTTTTACTGTTATTTATTATTTATTATTTGCTATTATTATTACTATTCTTTAACAAATTCTTAATATCTATTTTTTAAACTTTTTTTTAAATTATATAACACCTAAAACTGAAACTGAAAACCTAAATTTTAAAATCAAATAAATGTTGGTAACAGCTGTTTTATCATAGAAACCTATTTTGTTTGTTTTTAAGCTCCCTCTCTTGCTCCTGAAATGAAGTTGAAAAATAAATGTTTAAATGGCTCCATTATAAGTTTGGAATGGAGTGATATACCAGAAGAAAATATATACGGAGAACTAACGAAATTCCAAATTTGCTATCAAAAGACCAAAGTAAGTGAGATAGATTATTTAGGAACAAAAATGTGTATTTATCTTGATGCAAGTGTCCATGCTAAGGACATTTCTGCAGAGTTTAGTTCAACATACAGCATACAAATATCAGCTGCTAACCAAAATGGATTTGGTGTAGTTTCTGAACCTCTGTCGGCCAGTAAGTAGTTTTAAAAAGTTAAATGGATTGATATTTGATAAAATAAAAATTAAAAGGGTTAATATTTAATAAAATTATATTTGATAAAATAAAAATTAAAAGGGTTGATATTTAATAAATTTTCAAACATTAAACTATTATTAGTTTTTTAATTAAAATAAAATTTGTGTTTAGATGTTTTTCCTTGTTTCTACTCATTTAGAAATAAACAAATAAAAAAAATTTTGTACAATTTAAAAAAAAAAACTTTTAGTTTTTTATTTTTAACCTTATTAAGTTTTTAAAATATTCAACTAAAGTTAAATATTTTTAAAAGTTTGGTCATTACATTGTTTTGATATTCTTTTTTAATGAATATAAAATGTTATATGAATATATATTTACATAACTGTTTACATAATTTATTATATAAGTAATAAAATAGTATGTTTAATATATGGCTATGATATAATTATAAAATAAAATTTAAAAAGTAAAACAAAAAATCATAGTTTATATGTTATTTTTATAAGTTGCATTTTTTTTTAAATATATAATCTTTAAAAGTTTTCCATAAAAATATAAATGAAAAAAAAATGTTTATGCTAAATAAGGGTTTCCCTAATGCTCCGGCATTGAAAAATATATATAGGTTTAAATATTTTTTTTATTAATTGCAAGCAGAATAACACAAGCCAATAAAATTGTTACACAAACATTTGGCATCGTTTCTTATAAATTTGGTAATGCTGAATCAAAAAATTTTATCACCTACCATTTTTTTTAGTTTTTAAATTTTTTAACATCACTTTGAGATTAACTAGACTAATGTATAAATAAAAATTACATTATACAATTTTTTATATAATTTAATGCTATTTAATAATATTATTAATTAACATTAAAGATAAAAAAAATTTATGATTCGTCGACATTAGCAATTCTAGTTACTAACTGTCATTACTGTTGTGGCGTTATAAGTATTTATCATCATCTTTTCACATTGGTCATGTCCTGGCTTGTTATTTTTCATGTTTTCAGATTTTTTTGATATCAAAATTATGGTGATGTAAGGCCAAACTTATGGCATGTACAAAAGTATTAGGCATAAGGTCTCAGGTATAAAATCTAACTGCTTGAAAGTTCTTTAAAAACCACATTTGTGTCACTGAAAAACAAATATTTTTTCTCAATTAAGAAAAAAATTTTAAAAACAATTAAGTTTATATGTTTTGGAATGATATTAACTAAAATTCAAGATCTATTCCAACCTAATTATAATTCAAGAGTTAAAAAATATAGTGAAGCATATAGTAAACTTTGCTTTTTGATGAAAGATAATTTGGATCAACCTCAACCTAACCATAATTAGTTTTGACCATTTGCAAAAGAAGAAACCTAAATTTGTGGGATCAAAGTTAAAACACATTCGGTGTTTTCTGCCACGATCAAAGTTAAAACACATTCGGTGTTTTCTGCCACGATCAAAGTTAAAACACATTCGGTGTTTTCTGCCACGATCAAAGTTAAAACACATTCGGTGTTTTCTGTCACGATCAAGCTTTAATTAAAAAGAAGAATCAAAAAGTTCTTTGGATTTGCTTTTATTTGATCTAATATCAACAAACAAATTATCTTCAGACCGCTAAATGTTCTTAAGAATTTTGGTGAAATCCAACCAACTGTATGTATTTGAAGTTTTCATTGCTTGTTTTAATCAAATTAAATTATACTCTTATTTTTTGATATTTAAACTTCAGCAACTGCAATGATAACTGCCACTTGTCTCCAGTGTTTTGGGCTGTTGAGCTTTCAGCGGTTTTTGGTCACTAGCTGGATTTTTCATCAATTCCTTTTGATAAATTTATAACACCAAAACTCATTTACAAAAATAGTTCTTCACCATTAATTCAAAGCTTGATGAAAAAAACTTTTTTTTCTTCCAAGAATGAATATAGTCTTTCTAATAAACATTTCTCTGTGTACTCTATTGTAATTCAAAGATATTCTTTTCTTTTGCAGTTGATCTTTGTTTTATATTAATATGGCTCAACCAATCTGGTCTTTTTTGACTAATTTAAAGTTGATTCAATTTGCCTCATTTTACCTTTACACATTGACTGCGCCCACGAGTTTGTTCTAGAGTTATTCAAAATTGCTTGGCTCAATTTGCTTTCCTGAGTCTTATGGTACTGTGAGATGATCTGTCCTTGGTTGTATTGACTGATGGATACAATTGTTTTTAAATGATCCAAATCATGATGAGTTGGAACTTTTGAAAACAATATTTGAAAGTTTTGATACTTTTTTCCAGATGTGACTTTGCGACTTTAATCTTAACTATTGATTGACCATTTGTTGCATTAATGAGTCTTTAGGGCCTAATGGTGAGCTTCTTTTTTTGTTTTGTTTTGTTTTGTTATTCTTGGATGTTTTTAATTAAACTTTAGATTTTTAATATGGCAAATCAAACAAGTTCTGAGAATCTTAGTTAAATGGCCTTAAATGACTATTAAAACTAAATCAAAATCCAACAGTGGTACCCTCTGTGCAGGTGCCTGCCATAAGGATATTTGGCGGAAATATTTTCGTATGTAAGCATTTACCCCTGAAAATACAATCTTTGCAGTAAAAAAAATAAAATAAAAAAATCTCTAATGTTTCCCAAATACATTCAAAGCTCTGGAAAAGTGTCTAGAATAGCCCCTGATATATATATATATATATATATATATATATATATATATATATATATATATATATATATATATATATATATATATATATATATATACATGCTGAAATGAGATATAAGCTCGAGTTATAGCGATTTTTCTTTATTCAAAGCTAAGGTATAAACATACATTATTATGCTAATAAAAATATGAAAAATGTTTCAATGAGAGAAGTTACACTTCATATTTACGTTGTTCACTTAAAAGATAACATTCAAAAAAGTTTAGCCACACAATGGCTTCCTTACTATAGAGTAATAAAAGTACATTTAAAACCTAACAGTCTTTATTTAGAAATTAATTAAAACTACTCTTAGGTGCTTAATACACAGGAGGGAACATTTATTAGTTTTGGAATTTTTCCCACCCACCTCAAGCTTATTAACCCCTCCCTGCCCCATTAAATAATTTTTACTTATTATTACCAAAAAATACATCTTAAAATTAAAAAAAATAAACCAGAAAAATCTCTTCTATTGATTAAAAAAGTACCAAGCCTAAAACCATCAGTTGACGTACACTAGACTGCAGCTATATTCCAAGTTAATATGGCGTACACTAAACTGCGGCTATATTCCAAGTTAATTAACTATTTAAATTGTTTTAATTTTTGTTGGAATTGACTTAATATAAATTGGCTTAAATTTTAGTTGATTAATGTAGAGTCTGCTATGGCTACATAAAGTTTATGGCTTTATGAGTCAATGATATAGCCGATATACCATCGATGAAAAAATAACTCATAATAATATAATTGTTAAATGCAAATATTAATATAATAATTATTAAACAACAATAATAGTTAATATGCATTAAATATTATATTGTTAATACAATCTGCTCTGCAACTTTCTAAAAAAATTATTTGAATAATATATGCATTAGCATTAAATATTAAATTATTAATACAACCTGCACTGCGACTTTCTAAAAAAGTTATTTGAATAGTATATTTATTAAAAATTAAATATATCTTCGGAGGTTATTTTTTCGTTCAGTCACTGTTAATTTATACAACTTTAAATCAAACTATAAGAGTGCATAAAAGATTATATGTATACTCCACTTCATCCATCTGAACCTTGTCAACACCACATAAGAACCTCTTTGTTATGATTTTGCGTTAATCAGTTGGACTAAGGGAACTGCATAGCTCATTGCTCAAGTGTCATGCACTATCTACGATCTAGTCAAGTTTTCTAATAACTTAAAACATGATTAAATTTCCTAAAATATTAAACATAAAAAACCATCACTGTCATATAATTGTTTGGATCTATCTTTTAAGCATATTTGCAGTCTGTGAAGAACCTTTTTATCTGCTCAATCTCTTTCAAAATTTACCAGACCTACTTGTTCTTTGTGAGATTGATTTGAATTTGGCTGTTTTCTTTGGATTTTAGAGTTGATGGCTATTAACGCTTAATTCACAAAGGCTCCAATTGTCACATGCTTGACCTGGATATGACTTAGATATTAATTCATGTATTTTTTGTGAAATCAGAATTTTCTGACTATTCTTTTGCTAAGCTCTTTTTCACTCAATCTATCTTTTCGTTCTTTTTTTTCTTCTTTATTATTCTCCATCTTACAAAGATACACTCTTTTTGATGTTGTTTATGATCAAATTGACTGACTTCTTTTTTTTTAGATAAAACTTTTTAAATTTTTTATAAAAATTCTAAAGAACACTCTAACTTGTTGCTCCGTGTAGCAGCCTTGTTCTTCAAGAAATATGTTTTGGAGTTAAAGAGTTGAGAGAGGGTTATAGCCACAATAAGTAGCCTCCTTGATGTAACCCTCTTGGTCTTAGGGAGGTGAATAACTTTAAAAGAAAAAGTTAAAAAAAAAACTCTTTTAACTATTGTCCAATCAGTCATTATCAATCAGTCATTATCAATCAATCATTACTAGCATTTGAGTATTTTTTACTAGTCTTTGAGCCTTTAGTTAACAAACTTTAAATATCTTATTCTGATCTAACAACTTTCCGACAATTAATACAGATTTTGATCCATTCGTTCTAGAGTTGGCTCATTAAACTAGAGTTGGCTCACTAAACTAGAGTTGGCTCTATTAACTGTTAAAACAGAAAAATTTAATTGTGCATTAGACGAAAGTAGTGAGGCAAGGCCTATTATCAAATCAAAGGGTATGAAAAAAGTCTACTATTCTGGACTTTTCCATAAGCTTGCTTTATATGGTGTTTCTGAGAAAGTTTTAAAAATTATTGAATCATTGCTTTCTAGTTGTAGTACTAAAGCTTCTTTCTAAACTCAACTAAAGTTTTTAACTTTAGTTGAGTCTAGAAAGAAGCTTCACAAGAAAAAGGGGTGAAAATGGGTGTAAAAAATAGTGTGTGGATAAGAATGAAAATGAGTATTTACATAAAAATTTATAATGCAGTTATAAATGTAATAATATTGTTTTTTTAAATTAGCAACTTGTCGATGCCCTGATAAAGTATATGCTAACTATAACATCATGAAACCTTATGTTTATCGAGATTCCAAAAATAATCTTATTGGTGCTTTTCCGGCCATACTTGACACAATTATAAGAGGAGCTTGTGGTCAGTGCTGTGTTAATGGAAATTTTATAGAGACTACTTTGTATTGGACAGGTAGTGTATTTGGTATTATAAATTCTCATTTTGTATTCTTAATACAAATTTCAAAAAAATAATATATATTATTTTTCACTTTATTATAATAAATAAAAGCATAATTATATTGTATTTTATTTATAATATTTAATGTAGAATTTTTTATATTACTTAGTATTGTATTTTTTATATTATTGTTTTTAAAAGGTAAAAATAAAAATGTTGAAAAAAACTCTTCAAATGAAGTGGGAATTGCTATTAACAATGAGGCGCTTGTGAGTTTTCCGATCCTTGCTGAAATGTACATAGAGGACATGTTTGGTAAAAAAATTCAAATTCAATTTTTAATTATATAGAGAACTGCATTACCTGCATTCGCCAATATTACCTTTTTTATAACTTATTTAACCAAGTAAACTGGTGTATTTGAAAACTACCTGTTTATAACCAAAGTCAACCTATGGGCCTGAATAATATGTGTAACATTTATAAATGATGAAAAAAAAATGTTAAAAAGATTGTATATATAAAAATTTATACTTAAACCAAAAATATATTTATTGAACTTTCAAAAGATTAAGTTCATTTTACTTATAGGAATTATTAAAAAAAAAAAAATGAGTGTCTTAAAAAGAGTTTTGCATTTTTATTTAATAATTTCCTTAAATATTTGTGATATCAGTCTCATTTTTTTTTGAAAAGAATCTCTTTTTTTTTTTTGCTATTTAAAAGAATACACTTTTATTAATGCAAACAGTTTCCGTTATTGATAGACATGCAAAATAATCTGTTATGACAAATTTTTTAACAATTTTTTTTATAAATCTAATTTGTTTCACTTTATTTCACTTATGCTTTAATTCAAATTTGTCCTAAACAAAATAGTCTAAAAGGTTTTAGTTGGGATTTTGTGCCCAATTAATTTAATTCCGTTAAAGCTGTAAGATCATATTAAAAATTTTGAAACAAGCAAAATCTTGCTGAAAAATTCAATCATCACCAAATAATGGTTGCCATATTTTGGAGCAACTGGCAACTCGTATTTTGATATAAACTTTGTTGTTTACCATTTCTTTGTCCGAGATGACCAATGGTTTAATATGTCTTTGTCCGGGATGACCAACGTCATAATTCCTTCTGATACTTAATCACGCTATATCTTTTTTTGAAAATTTTTTTATATTACTTTTTCCATTTATATTCCAATGATATAGATTGTAAATTGAAGAGAAGCACTCCACAATTTATATTCTATATTGTCTTGTTTTGGGCATTGTAAGAGCATTTTTGTCAACATTTTAATCAGAAAACAAAATTTGCAATATTTCTGTAATTTTTTAATCTTTTGTTATCAAATTTGCAATTTTTTTATTTTATTTTGCTAAAGTTGTTTTTTTGGTAAAGTTTTGTATCACTTTTAAGTACTTGAATTGTGTATTTATTGCAAATTAAGTAAGTGAATTGAATGCTTTTAATTTTGAAAATTTATTTATTTTGATGCTGTTTATTTTCTAGACTTAAATGAGTGTCTTTATGTTTTATAATTTATGATTATTTAATATATGATTTTATTATATCACTAACTGATTTTATCAAATTTCAGTCATAAGACACTTAACAATAAGATACTTGCTCAAATTTTTAAAATAATTTTCTTTATTTATATAATAAACATATTTTGATGTATTTTTTAAAACCACTATGTATGCAAGAACTTTTTGTTTGCATTTTTTTTCAGTCCAAAATAATCATAAACATAATTACATGCAAATAAATTTTTAATAATCAAATGCTGGTTTATATTCAATCTATTATATATATATATATATATATATATATATATATATATATATATATATATATATATATATATATATATATATATATATATATATATATATATATATATATAATTTATACTTTTAGGTGGAAAATTTATTCCTATTTTTAAACATCCTGGAAGTTTATTTATGGTTCGAGTAGATTCTTTTCCTCAACAACTAGATAAGATGGTGCAAAAGATTTTTAGTGTTTGGCCAATAATAATGATTTTTACCTGCATGTTAATTCCTAGTGGTATACTACTCTGGTTGATGGTAAGATTTATTTTTACATTGATTGTAATTGATTATAACTTATAATTTACAATTCAATAGCATATGTAAAACTTTAAATTTCATGTATATTATTCAATTGTATAGTATTGTTTAAATTTATTGTATAAGATAAATTTAACTTACTTTAATATGATAATAGCACATGCTCTAATATTTTGAAAATACTGTGTATCATATAAGTAACATCGTCCACTGGTAATTACTATTTATTTAAAACATTAATAACTAATAATATTAAATTCACTAAAATACAGTTAATAAATGTTTAAAATACTTTAAACAAATTTCAATAATTATTTACAAATAGCGTGGTTAAATTCTTTAGTAAAATAGTTTTCTTATTGTAACATGGTTACGTTCACCGGTAAATTCATGTTTTCAAAGAAATGCTTTTAAATCAATTCCTTATCACAACACAAATGATTAAGATGATGATTAAAAAAATGTATTGTTAATTATCTTGTTTTCTACCATAAGTTTCTTGACTTTTTTGTATTCATGTGGTTTATTCCTGCTATTATATTCAATTTCAAATCCTGCTGTTATATTCAATTGGAAAAATATTCAACATCTTTGGACTTGCCTAAAAAATAATATCATGTCTAAAAAATAATATCATGCTAGCAGCATGATGTGTTTTTTTCAGTCAAGTGTTCCTTGTTAACTTTTTCGGTTTAGTGTTCCTTGTTAATCGACAGAGAAATAGCCCCAATGCATCCTCTTTTGGTTCTACTTTATTATCTGTAAATAATTTTGTGATTTTATTTGTGACGGTCCTTAGGCTGATGTCTTTTCCCTCTTAGGTGAAAAATATGTCTCCTATAACCTCCTGGATTCAGGCAGGAATGGAAGTTTCTATTTCTTCTCACTGGTTCCTCATTTTACTCCATGATTTTCACCTTTATGTGTAGCTGCTATATCTAATTGTAATCATTTCATCTTTTTAAAAAGAAAAACTTTGCAAAGAACTTTTCTTTTAATTCGACTCTTGAATCTTATGTTCTCTTCCTTCATTCCAATTAAACAGGTTAATCCATTGTTAGACATTCAAATCACTCTAGTTTCTGTTGCTAAAGTCACATCTTGATTAAATTCTTCTATGGCTTGTGGTCCAAACAACATTCCTGTCACAGTCTTCCAAAAGTTTTATCCAGTGCTCTCTTCAATTCTCTCTAAACTATGTAATAAATGCTTGACTGAGTCTTGTTTTTCTGCCTACTAGAAAATTGCATCTTCTGTTCTAATTTTCAAAAACTCCATTCTGAACATTCTGACCCCTCCAATTATTGTCCAATCAGTCTTCTTTCTGTTATTAGCAAGTCTATGGTAAACAAATTTCTCACATCTTATCTAGAGTTAAATACCTTACTGTCGGACAATTAATTTGGCTTTCAATCCTCTTGCTCTATGGCTGACTTGGTAACTTCTGTGACTAACTATGGACTAACTGTGAATAACTTCTGGGGCTTACAGTGGCTTGTAAATTTTAACTCCAACAAAACTCAGTTATTTAATGCAAACAACTAGCGCAGTACTGTCAACATTCCTATATTAATGAATGGCAACCCTCTCACTTAGTTCTCTTCTTAATGTCTTTTTGGATTATTGTTTACTACTGACCTTTCATGGAAACCATACATACAATCGATTGCTAAATTAGCATCTATGAAGGTTGCTTCTGTTTATTGTACTTGCCATTTCCTATCTCCTGATTTCATTCTCTACCTCTACAAATCTAGTAATAGTCCCTGTATGGAATACTGTTGTCATATTTTTTTTTTTTTAATTTTAATTCACCTCCTCAAGGCCGAGAAGGCCACTACAGACGAGGAGGCTATTTATTTGTGGCTATAACCCTCTCTCAACTCTATAAATCCAAAACACGAACCTTGTTGAACAAGGCCGGTGCGTGGAGAAACGAGTTGAGCGCGGTACTACCAGGGATGTGGTGGGGATCGAACTCGGAACCACTCGTTTATGAAGCGAGCGCTCTACCACTACACCACTACCGCATATTTGGGCTGGTTCTTCTAATGATGCACTTTCTCTTCTAGACAAGAACCAAAAAGACATTGTAAACGTAGTTGGACCCACTCTATCTGCTAAGTTTCAGCCTCATCGTCGTCAAGTTGCACCTCTTTCTCTTTTCTACAAATACTATCATGATCGTTGTTCAAAGAAGTTATCATCTCTAGTTCCATTAACTAAAACTCATTATAACTTGACTTGTCATTCAGCAAAGTCTCATTTTTTTAATGCATCTGTCCCTGCATGCTCTAAAAACTTTTATTTGTTTAGTTTTTTCCCCGGACTTAAACCCTTTGGAACTTAGGTTGTATGAATCACGAAAATCTCTTCATGTTTTCCTGACTCATACAACCTATAACAACCATACAACCTATTTATATTTATATATATATTTATACATATGTATATATATATATATTTATTTATTTATATGTGTGTATATATATATATATATATATATATATATATATATATATATATATATATATATATATATATATATATATATATATATATATATATTGATAATTTAGTCTCAAATCTGATCCTCTAAATTCAAGCACATCTTTTACTTTGTTATTCTGATTGTTGTGTTTTACCAGAATATTTGATAAATTTATTAAAAGATTGAAATTTGCTGAGTCATTTGATCCTTCAAAATATCTGATGGCTTTTCTTATTTAACATGTTCACGCCGGCGTGTACCACCGGTGATACACACTAGACTGTCTCATTGGGCGGCGTGTACCACTGGTGGTACACACTAGACTGTCTCATTGGGCGGCATGTACTACCGGTGGTACACGCCACCCAATGAGACAGTCTAGTGTGTACCACCGGTGGTATACGCCAGCGTGAGCGTGTTAAACTTCATCTATATTAGTAGGTCTTGAAAAATGAAATCAGTTTCCAATTCTCAATGCATCCAATTCTCTAATTAGCTTATAGCATTTGAAACTGACGGTCCCTTTGATATTCCATGTTGATGTGCAGAATAATTTTTTAGTCTCACTGTTTTAAAAAATTGGTTTTTTATTTGCAAAGATATATGTATGTATGTAAAATGATATGTCTAGTTAGTAAAATTATAATTTATTTTTAAAGTGCATACATTGAACTCCAAAAGTACACTCTTTTTCTTTATTTTTTTTTTTTTTTTTTTTTTTTTTTTTTTTTTGTATTTCACTTACAAGTAGCAAAGAATGTAACAGGCTAGAAAATAGTTCTAATTTGGAAAATATTAAAATTAATTAAAGTGTATATATATATATATATATATATATATATATATATATATATATATATATATATATATATATATATATATATATATATCTGTGCATAAAAAAAGAAGATAGCTATACTACCAATATAGAAAAACTTTAATTTGTTTTAAATTATTTTAATTTATTTTAATAATTTTGATGCATAAATATATATTATACATGATGCAAAAATTTATTATAAAAATTATTTCTCCAATGAATTGGTTGTCAGCGAATCTCTAAATAAGTTATTTTGCTTTAACGCTTTATGATTAAAGCTACTAGTATGTAAACTGTATAATTATATATTATATATATAATATATTAGATATATAGAATTATTAGATTTTTGCAATTCAAATTACCATTAAATATAAATCATTTTTATAAGGATGTTAAAGTATATTTCTTCTAACTTTCACTTCCTATTAAGTTCACAGTATTGGGAAAAAAATGTCAATCAACATTGGATACTCCAGCTAAAGTTTTGTTTGTTCTACTTAACTGTTCTGTTCTGTTATAAAGTTCTAAAAGACAATAAAAGAAAATAATATGAATGTAAAAAAAGCTTTATTGAGTGACGATTTATTTGAGTGCTTTCATGTGTGATCTTTAAAATGTCAAATTTACAGTGTTTCTTACAGTTTTCATCAATTAGTTTTACTTACAAGATATTAGTTCAGATTTTTTAATGTTATTAAAGATTTTTGAGAGAAACTATCAAGTCTCTGATAATTTACTTATTTTTATTGGCGGATTTATTGCATCTGATATTGTAGTTTTTGCAGTTTGCAGTTTACTATTGCTTTGACAAAATATATATTTTAATGAACAATTCAGTGGAGTTTTTTTTGACATATCCAACATGATCTTATGATCGAACATTTTTTTTTTTTAAATAGAATTACATTTATTTATATAATATTTTTGTTGCAGAGGTTTTTTGAAATGCAATTTTTTTCTTAACACCCTTGTTTTTAAATAATGAAAACTTTTTTTGTATGAGCAATATGTTTTCATGCTGCATTATCTGCATCATTTTAGAGATTTATTACTTCAAGGAGATTGAATTTCAATTAATTATTATTACCTCTATTGCCAAATCTTTTTTTTATGAAGTTAAACTACAGTTTTTTAATTTCCACCTAATATTGATAGACCTTGCATTGAAATGCTGGTATTTTCTTCAGTTTAAGATCAAATAAGATTTTTTAGGAAATTTTTAGAGATTTTTCAGGTAATTTAATATACTATTTAAATGTTGTAGTAATTGTCAAAAATTTACTAAAACTAATAAAATATCATTGACTCGTCACCCTCAAGAGGTTTTTTTTTATGAAATTTAGCAGAAAATTGATCATTTGGTTTATAAACACATG